CATCCATCCATCATCCATCCATCTCTCAGATAGATGGAATTTAACAACAGTCTTAAAAATCCATCATTTTCTTCTCCTATTTTTCTCTGATTAAATCCATCACCCAGTTCTGATCGTTGCATCTTTGACCAAATACTAACAAACTTAATAGATTCCAGTTTTTCTTTGGATGTAAAATCCCCGCAGCCTTCTATGAAATTCAGCGTTTTGTTTCCTCCCAATGAGATCATCCACTTGGAGGCGACTCACAGCAGCTTCCTGTCTGACCTGACCAGTCCTAATGTAATCTCAGCCACAAACTCCAGCAGCAGAACGCGGCGCCGTTTCCTGTAGAAATGAATCCACAGGAACCTCAGTAAGAGGAGACATGAGCCGCTACTCACCCAGAGAAAACAGCCTGACCACAAGAAAACGAGAGCTCTGAGCACTGCCTCCATCTCTGCTCTGCTGCCCTCAGCCTCAGACGCCCACAACTAAAGCCCTGATGTCACCACATCATCCATCCCATAACGCTACGGGGAGGGGATCCAGTTCAGGACTTTTAGCAGCGCTAACAACATTAACACCAAACCTGCTCTAACAAACACAAAGAAGCGCTGCATGACGAGAAAAGCACAGATAATGATGAAGATTTCAGGGATAAATCCCTGGTTTGAATCCAGCAGAAATGGAGGAAATTATAATCAGTACTGACTTTAAAAAGTTTCTTCCTGACCTTTTTTAGTTCCCAGTTTGTGACCCCTGCCTCACCAGCCACAGCTGTTTATTTAATAAAAGTGTCTTATCCATCAATCGATGGGGAATTTCTATAAAACCTGCATTTTAGTGCTGAATTAAATCCCCCCAAACCTCCCTACCTGTTTGCAGTAGTTTTAAACCGACCAGCTGACGGGTAGTTTATCTACCTCAGTGGCTCTCAGCATGCACAGGATACAGTCAGCCATTTTTATTCCTGTATCTCAGACCATTCCAGTAAACTCCTCTCCACACGTCCTTCAGCAGCGCAGCTGATAACAGTTTGGGCTTTTTAGTTTACTTTGATGTGATTTTTTATTTTACATTTTATTGCTCTGGTTACTTGTTAACCGCAAGAGTCAAAAGGTCAAAGGTCAGACTATAGTAATTATATAATGAAGCCTGAACAAAACATAATTTTCTCATAAATTGTTCAATTTAGAGCCGATACTTTTTAATAATTTGAAATAAAAATCTTAAATATTTCAAAATATATGAATATGTATGATATGTATAATATATTATA